GGAGCTTTCGCAAAAGTGAACAAATATACAGTCGTTAATCTTCGTTTATCCAAATCGCCCGCGTAGTCAGAATCACAATGTCCAACTACACATTTACCAACTTCATCCTGCTCATGTAGTAATCCAACGTCTACAGTATTATGAATGTACCGTAGAATCTAATATAGCCATATTATGATATACTTGTCTAAGCGTCAGCTACTCGACTCAAACGACGGTTTGGATCATCGTCGCGGTTACTAAAATATCGCAAAGTCGACATGCAAGTAAGTCAACTTTGTTTTCTCTTCATGGCTACTGCAGGAAGAAGCGATTTTCCTGAAGACGACTTATGAAGGGGCGACTCCTCTAAGCCGACTCCTGGAGTTGACTTCGACCAAGAAGATGAGAACTATGCGAAGTGAGAGCCTACTAACGTGGTACTATGGATAAACCCTCAAGTCGGCCTCATACAATCTGAGGTCGACTTCCCACGCCTCGACTCTTGAAGGAACTAGACGATTCAAGACACTTCGGCATATATTAATAAGTTCCTCAAACCAGGATGGACCTTTAAGAGATAAGTAGCTGGATGCTGACTAAGAGGTAGATGGAATGCGAACCAACCAGGGCATTTTAGGTATTTCATGTAAGTCGGCCAAGGCATTTTGGGTACTTCAAGCAGGTATTTGCTCCTATATAAAGAGGCTGAGGTAACTCTAAACCCTAACTTCAGTCTGATTATCCATTCTCTAGATCTGCAGCTGCTCTCACCAGCTCTTCTCCCTTTTCTTTCACTGACTTGAGCGTCGGAGGCTCTTCACCGGAAACACTTCCGATGTTGAGGTCTTGCAGGTGTTCCAGCGGCCTAGAGGCGATTTTGAGGCGGTTCGAACAGATCGGAGCTCACAACCACCGGTTCACTCCAGATCTAGGAGGAGACCCATCAGAATCCATTTCACAGCTTGCCAATGACCTTTAATAGTGTCATGCATATACCTGCTAACAACATGCACAGTATTGAACTTTATCGAAATAAATGCTAACACATTGGAATCTATAGTTCGGATATAGACGTTTACCTTTTAAAATTTTTGCCGACCCTGAGACGATGTAGAGTACCGTTGATGAAGTTCGTCTGAACACCATGTTGTAGCAAATTTTGTTTTATATTTTTCCGAGCACCGAGTTAAAAACTCGTTTCCCGGGTCGATCTCAAGGACTGGTCAATCGAACTATATTATGTGTAATTAAATTTCTTTTATATATAATAATGCAGAAAATTAATCCAGATTTTTGCTTGATTACAACTAGAAATTTACATAACATTATAGAAACAGAAGAAAGACATTAAATAACAGA